GGGAAAAATGAACACTGATACTTTAGACCGTGTTGTGCTGTAGGGGAGATTTGATTGAGAAGCGTGCGCTTTTCTGAAGCAGCTTTTTCTAATTGGGCAAGAAGATTTTGCTTGTTAGTTGTATTTGCTCTGAAGCGTTGTTTGGCGATATCTTATTTTTTAATCTCCAGTTACTGTGCAGGTTTATCTTTTTAAGCTCATTTGTAGTTAAAAATTTGTAGGTGTGTGTGATGCCTTTTATATATGCAACACGAAGTCACAGTAGGGAAGCCCATCCTAAAAACATCGAAGGGATAATTATTTAAATTACAGAAAGCAGGTCCCCTCTGTAGGATGGTAGAATGATCTTTAAAAGAGGACTGTGGTAGGGACAATAAAAAATGAGGGAGCCCTGTGTTTCTTCCCTTTTTCAGTCATTTTCAGTGTGATTACAGAAGAGCAGAGATGCGCTGCCCTGGGGTAGAGGGACTGGGACACTGCACCGTGTTTAGTTAAAGAAGCTATCAGCTGCAGTAGTTGTCGCATAACTTGAAGCCATGTCCCCAGCACTGCGGACCGCCCGCGGTGTCAGCTTTCACATCCTGGAGATTTTGGGGAGAGAGAGAGGGGGTACGTCGGGGGCAAGAGGAGGGAAGGGGAGAAAGGTGCTTTAGGGAGAGGGTTGTTTGTTTTTTCTGGAGTACTTGGTAGAAGCCTCACTTGCCCGGAAACAACTGAGAAGCCATTTTCCTTTCCTCAATTACAAATTATATTCTTTCCTGAAGTAGCCTTACTTCCACCTCACTGCTTCCTAGATTCAAACAAACAAAATAAAACCAAGGACGATTTTTCAGGTGTACACAACTATATTTAATATTTCCATCCACTTTATTTGTGGCATAGACAAATTGAAAACTGAGAATGGCAGTAAAAGTGCAAATTGCCAGTGATATAACAGGTCTAAGCCTGTGGCCCTGTAACCTCATGGTAATATTATTTATCAGACATGCTCTGTATAAAATATATGAGCCAAGAAGTGTGGAACTTAAGGCATGAGGGCATTTAGGAAATTGGAAGAAAAAGTAAGTGTTTGGAAGACAACATTAGAAAATGAAAAGACGCAGGAATTGGAAAAATGGATTTATACTCATTTAAATTCATAAAGAATAATGATAGTAATTTTCTTGTATGGGTAAAGTGCCTTTATTTCAAAAAGCTAAGGGTATTAATCATTACAGAGGATATTATGTAAGATAATTATGTTTATCCTGATTTTTAATCCTATTTTTTAAAATATATGGATAGACCAACAAAATAAAATAATTTTATTTTAAAGACAAACAGGATGTTCAAACAGGAAGTTATCACCTAGAATAAAACTGTACAGCAGTTTTTCTGACACATGAAGTGTTTCGTTGTATATGTCTGTACTCTTTCTAAACGTTTTTTTTTTTTCCTAAAATAAGTGGAAAAATGCAAGACCATGAGGAGTGATTCCCATGTAATTAGAGGGAGCGATCCATGCCCCTCTACACAGAAGAGGGATTAAAAGCCCTAGTTTTAATGGACTCAGTTGATCATTTCACCCAGCCCACTCCTGATTTATCTCTGTAATCCATGATTGAATCTAAATTCAGTTTGAAAGATCATTCTTTGCTGTGTCACCAATTTCTCTTAAAATTTGAACAGTCCACAATAAAAATTAAAGTCCCTGCTGAATGAATTACAGCCAGAGTTTTGAGTTTCCAGAAGTTTCTTGGAATCTCAGAAATAGTCATAGCAAGCACAGGTGATCTACAGCACTTGCTGTGACTATTTAAACATAGAAAATGCTTTATTCCATTCTTTCCATTCATTCCATGTCTTCTACATTTGGGCCTAACCTATAGATTTATAGCAGTGGTCTTAAGTTGGAAATGTTCACCACTGTTGTTAGTGATGGCACCAAAGAAATTATGATAGCAGAGTTGGACTATATATGGCCCCTGTTCCTTTTCTTTGATGACTTTTTAGGTAGACCTTTTTGCTAGGCTGTACTCTTTTTTAGTTGTGTGACTAGCCACTGCCAATATAATCATGGATTCATATTCTGGAACTTCTGTACTTTGGAGACCATCTGATCCTGAAGGGTCTTCAAAAGCCCTTCCTGGCTAAAGCAGATCTTAATGACTTGTTTCTCCCTTCAATCTCTATTTTCCTTATTATATTTCTTTTGAATTTTTACTCAAACTCAACAGAGAACCTTAGCATATAATTTAAGGGAAAAATAAATATAATGAATTCTGTGGCAACCAACAAAAACCCACAGTCTTTACCAAAGTATTTTCACAGTGGAGTTTACATTTTTACCTACTGCCTGAAGGAGGAAAGAAACAGTTGGCTCTCTCAGTTTTTAGTGTTCTTATCATAGTCCTCCTTTAAAGTTCATGTTACCAGCCTAAGGAGGTTCAAGAAGAGAAAGAGTGACCATTGATGACCTTTGATTTTTTTTCAGAACGTAGGTTTAGCACCTGTACCGTAGTCTCTAGGAGAGTGGATTGTACTGATTTTTTTAAAAAGAAAGAAAATGCTCGGTAACCAGTAGTGGTGTTCAGTAGTGCCTGCGGGCTGAATTTCTTTTGATCTCATTCATTATTCATTTATCAGACACCTATTGAGCACCTACTTTGTGTCAGGCAGTGTACTGAGCACTTTATATGGAATATTGTATTTAATAACAACTCTATGAAGTGTGAGATAGGTACTATTATAATCCATTTTACGGATGAGGAGGAAACTGACACAACATATGTATTAGTAACCTCTCCAGATGCCTTCTTCAGTTGGCCTTAATTCCTCCTTTTTCTTTACCCCATTCCAAATAATACTGTGATTCTCCCTCTGTAACTTACTACTTTTTTATCCAGCTAATATAACTATGAAAGATAAGTGTTGTGTCTACC